ATACTAAGAATATAGTACACTTCTTAACCTTGAAATCAGAGCACTCTTCCAAATATTCCTCCAGCGTTTCACCATCATCTTCAAGTGCATCTTCATTTGTGCAAAAAGAATCTTTAACGCAAAAAGCGCAGATTTCCCCTCTTCTGTTAGCCGGTTCCTCACCGAGAATACCACAAGCACTGCATCAATCCCATCTTTGGACAGATATAAGCAATTTAAAATCTCTCTGCAGGTAAACTCAGTTGATGGAGACAGACTAAACAGACCTGCAGCACCAATCAAGATTCACATGTTTAACAAACATCATAAATTAATGACTCATTGGCTTGATGGTTTTCGAACACATTACCAGGAGTATCAATAATATTGAGTATCTGGCCATTTGATAGCGTTGAACTCTGTAGCTCACAGGCTGTAGTTACTCCTGATGCACACCGTTTTGACTTGAAAGCTTGCGTACCAAGAATGCTATTCCCTGTCGCACTTTTCCCGTTACCTGATCGCCCGAGCAGAACTAGAGTTCTTGAAGGTTTCTGCTGTACAACCAAATCACAAGAAACCTCCAGAACAGATTTTTCCTCTGGAGAAGATTCCGGCACCATTAGCAACTCTGTCAAATCCAAATGTATTCGTATCAAACAAATTTTACAGTACTACTTTCAAGACACAGATTCAGATTCTTGCTTAAATTTTATGAGAGAAATAAATTGAAAAAATCTCCTTTTGAGGACATGTGAAGAGAGTTTTACACATACATGTTTCCCACTAGCTTTGTACTAAAGTTTTGTTTTTCCTAGGCTCTTTGTCTCAGCTTCCAAAGGTTATTAGAGCAACTGTTTACTAGTTCTGCAACAGTTAGGAATATGTACTTTTCGTAATGAAGATTCACAAAGATATGTACATACTTTGTTTTCTCAGATATGCAAGAGAATCAATTAGAACATTATCTGGAACTAGATTCCAAAACCCTAGTTTTCTCAGGATGATATTTCTCTCTTTGTATAAACTTACCAGTGAGAGAAAGTGATTCAAAGAGTTCAAAGAAACAAAAACATACCTGTACGATCAGCTGAGAAATCATCTGCTACTAGTCCTCCACCCATCTGTACAGTTTCTGCTGAACAAGTAAATCTTAAGACTTAAGAGATAGGTTTATGGTTTTTCAGTAGAAACGTAAGTGATAGTCTCGTTTCTCAAGAATAAAATTATTAAGGGTACAAAAAGGAAGGAATATCAAGAGTCTCTTATTTGAGTAATGATGACAATTGTGTTAGTTTCATTGAGAGTTTTATTTCTCGAGAAGGTAAAGAGGTCAGATTTATGCCAGTGGAGACTTTCAAATCCAAAAACTAGTTAGTGATTAAACCGGAAAAGCTTTCAACTTTTAAAGCAACTAGGAGTATAATTTTAATTTAGATTCCGAAAAAAAAAAAAAAACTTTTAAACCAACTCTCCGTTGATGAATGAATAAACCCACTTATTAGGATACAAATAAAAAAAAATAATTACTAAAACAACTCTGAGGTTAATTACTAGAACAACTTTTATTCAATTTTAAAATTCAACACAAGTTATAAAAGACAAATAAACCTTAGTAACAAGTTTTTATTATGAAATGTCATTCATAATTTGTAAAAAAAAAAAATATATCAAACATTTGTTTGAAACCACGGCCGCGGAGGCTGCGGAAGCACCGGATCGTGCTCGGCGGAAGTGTGGAAGCCGAAATTTAGGCAAAAATCGGATTAAAAATCAAAAGTTGGAAAAAACTCAAAATCTTTAGATTTTTTGTTAGAAAAAAGATATACGATGTTAGATCTACTAGTTTTAGGCAATATCTAGTTGAAAACGAGTTAAAATACAGTAAAACGAGCTAAAAAATGGCTGGCCGTCATTGCTAGGATTTGAGAAAATCTTGGTGTTTTGTGGAAAATATGAAATGTAAATTACGATTTACCCTTTATTGAATAAATCTACCACTACTATAAATAAATCTACCATATATTATAAATCTACCACTACCACGATTATAAATAAATCTACCACATGTTATAAATCTACCACTACTATAAATAAATCTACCACTACTATAAACAAGTGTAAGGTTGTTTTAGTAAATAAGTGAAAAGATTGAATAAACTACCATTACAATAAATAAGTCTACCCCATATTATAACTCTACCACTAGTATAAATAAGTCTACGATTGCGCGAACCATCAATAAGTCTACCGATCACAAAATAACTCTACCACAACTACTAATAAGTCTATCACTCAAAAATAAATCTACCACTACTGTAAATAAGTCTACGATTGCGCGAACCATCAATAAGTCTACGATGGCGCGAACCATCAATAAGTCTACCGATCACAAAATTAATTCTACCACCACTAGAAATAAATCTACCGATCATAAAATTAAGGGACAGAAACTATAATAACCCAAAATTAACAATTAATAACTTAAA